GCTACTGCAGGTGTTGAAGCAGCTTCTTTAACATCAGCTGCTTTGTGTGTTTCACGAGTCACTTTCGAAGTCTTAGCAGGTGCATCAGTTTTAACTGGTGATGGTTCTGCTTTGACTGGTGTTTTTTGTGGCTCTTTGGCTGCAACTGCAGGTGGTGGAGCAGCTTCCTTAGCATCAGCTGCTTTGTGTGCTTCACGAGTCACTTTCAAAGTCTTAGCAGGTGCATCAGTTTTAACTGGTGATGGTTCTGCTTTGACTGGTGCTTTTTCTGGTTCTTTGGCTGCTACTGCAGGTGTTGGAGCTGGTTCCTTAGCATCAGCTGCTTTAGATGGTAGAGGTTTATCAACACTTTCTGTAGTCAACGATGGTTTCTCGTTGACGGGAAGTGCAATCGCAATTGCAACGATGGATAAAAAAATTATCTGGAAATAATTCACTGAAATCAATTCAACAGAAAATTCTAATTTTTTAATTCAATCTCACAATACGCATCTTAAATAACACTTTATCACTTCGCGAAATAAAAAAGACGACTGACTGGTTATTTGCAATGTATTTAGGTATTTATAGTAAAACCTATCAATTAACACCTTTTTTAAACTTCTACCGCCAATACATGAGAGACTGTAAATGATAATGCGAACTGTTCAGTTCCAGAATGTTTAAGAAACCTCAACATAAACAGACACATTTTCAAATTAAAAGCTCAAATAATGACTTTAGTCGATATTTCCTTGCAAACGAGTGGAAGATTTTTATTGACTTTTTATTTGTTTTCGTTTTATTTTTGTTTTAACATTAATAGTAAAATATAATTTTTAGAAAAAACATTTCATTCCGAAATGATTTAATGGCTCAATATTTTGAAGTACGCAAAAAGTTGATGTTGACAATCAAAATTCTTTACATTTATGTTAAAAACAACAAAATTATGAATTACTCATCTGTGATCTTAGTCACGACGACTGCTAATCAACAGACAAAAACAATTAAAAGTTGTTGGATTCGTATGAGTTGCAATGACATGATTCACTGTAATTTTGTTTCAACATTAAATTAACTGTTGTATGTTAAAATCACAAGAAAAAATAAAAATAAAAGGAAAACAAAAAACAAGGAAAAAAACTCTCATCAGAAATCTCAGATTAGTTATTGCACAAGTCAGAATAACAAATCGAGCAGTGTTCAAAACTCTCTTTAGGGGATGCACAAGCATTCAGAACCAGTTTACTATCCTTCGTACAAGAACCTTTGATGGAAGGGAATTATTTTAAATTTCATTTCTTTGAACGTATCTAAAACTTACGGGTTGTTGTTTTCCTTCCGTTATCTATTGATGATTTTATTACAGACAAAATTGAATTGAAGTTATAAAATTAATTTTTATTGAATAATTTAATTTGCTTACCATTTTCAATAGTCTTCAAGCACGCACTTTTAATTCCTAAGCCTTTTTCGAATGTTGAAGGTTCTGGACATTCCTTTAAAATTTAAAATAAACAGAAATTAGTATATGATTCAATTCAACGAACCAAATAGCAAATAACTTTTGTCAATTCTTGAGCATCCTTCAATTCTTCACATTTTGAATCCCTCGGAAAGGAACAGTCATAACAACGCAAAGCTGAAGCTGAAAAAACAAAATATAAGAAGATAAAATAAAAAGTGATCTTCAATGAAGCAGAAACTTAGTTAATTTACTCGATGCAACAACAGCAGCAACAAACACCACAAGAACGAAAATGATTTTCATCTTTACTTTATCAAAGTTATAGCAATAATTAATGTATGACTTCAGTTTCTGTGGTTTCGCTTAAGACTGACAAAACCCGTTTGAGATAATCATAAATTCAAAACGAATTTGCCTTTTTTTTGTGTTTCAAGTTCAAGTGTCAAATCTTATCTCAAAGATTTATATGAAATTTTGTGCACATCTACAAAAATGAAAATTATTTAGCATGATGAAGTTTACAAATATGATTTAAAAAATTATATTTTTTCTATTGTTGTTTAGAATTTTTTCATAACTTGAATAGGTGGAAGGATTCATTTTTCTAAAATCCAGTTTATGTTAAAAACAAGAATTCATCATGTTGTCATATTTACAATTACGACGAGGATTACTAATTTGTTATTTTAGTTTGTAACACTTGCTGATCATGAGAATAACAAGAAATAGAAACGTAGACACCACCATATAAATTAATTTACACTTTCTTCTGGTTTTTAATTAATTTGTCTTTTATTTCACCTTAAAATTCTGAGAAACAATTTTCAGATCATGAGTCAAACTATTGAAACTACGACTCATTGCTTAAAATATTTTTAAACAACTAATGCAATTTCTGGTATCAGGTACTGTAATCAGATTGATCGTACAGTGAACTTTCTTTATAAGAATTTTGAAGGGAATCACCAAGAGCTTCTTCCTATGAAGAACTTTTTTGAATATTACTTCTTAATATGAGTGTGTGGCTTATAAAGAGCTTTTTTCTTACAAGGAGAATTCTTAAAAAGAAAGTCCACTGTATTATTAAGAAAATATTATTGGAGTGTCAAAATTCTAACAAGAACTGGAAACATATATTTTTTAATCTATAAAAAGCTCAAATTCAACTTTTTCCTGATTATTTTTTGCCCATAGTGTACATTGTACATTGATCAAAATTCCGTCTATAAAATAAAAGAAGAAAAATTGAATAAATTATTCGCATACAGTAGTAATGCAGAAATTTTACGCATTGGTTTTTCGAAATGAATTGCTAATAATGGCTTGCTACATCCGAATTCACTCGAGCAA